CGCGATGGTTGTTATGCTCATTATGTGCTGCTACAACTTCACTCCTGTCATTTGGATTAGGTGCCCTAGAACCATTGCCTAGTTCATGCTCCTCCGGATTCTCGTTAAGCCTAAGAACCAAGCCATGACTGTCCAAAGAAGCACTTGATACTGAGGCCTCCTTGGCCGGATCTTGACTTGTTGAAACATTCTTATCACCAAAATTAGTAATCTCAGTCACTACAGAATCAATCCAAGGATTGTTTGACAAAGGTGGAGGCGGTGATATCACTTCACTAGGCACATAACATACACTTTCTTCCTCTCCTGAACAAGAAAATGAGAATGGTGCTGCAGCTTGAACTGATCTCGACACGTTGTAACCTGATTGTAACCAGAAATTGCCACCACCCAATTGTCCCAAACTCAGACCATAGCCTTCTACTTCTTCTGAGCAGTCAACTGATTTCCTATTACCCTTTTTCCTCTTAGCTCCTCTACTCATACAGTTGTCATCATCAAAACATCCCTGATCAGCATACCTCTTCAAACTCCTACCCTTTTCCCAAAATTCATCTTTGCTTTCTCTCCTACCTTCTACATATGATGATGTCTGAGCAGTAGTCGGGGATGGCGGTAGACGAATGTTCTGCTTAAGAGAGCAACTACCGTTCTTGGTTTCAATAGGCTTATCAACAGAAAGGCTGCCTACTGGCCTAATAGATTGGGACCTTGGGTTGTCTTTTCTAGCAAAACTACATGGCAAATCCAATCTTTGTGTGCTCATTGAAGGGAAATTACAAGCTTGAAATTGTGCAGATGCTTCACTCCTTAATCTATGCCTAGGTGACAACAATGTAGAAGAACAACCAGCCAACATAATTCACACCCTTCCAATATTTTTTTTTCTTTCTTTTCAACTCCGACTCACCCACCCTTTTTCTTCTCTATATCTCTTTTATCTTTCTATATATATATTTTCACTATGAAATATACAATTTTTGATAACACTAAAGTTCTATAGAGGATTCAAAGAGAAACAGAACAATGTCTATATGTGAGTGTGTGAAGTTCCAAGAAAACAAAAAATAGGAATCCGATGTCAAAAAAAATCAAAACAAATGTGATATCTGTGTGTCCTATATGATGATCTTATAAATCTGTATAATAATATATTTCTATATGCAACAAAGAATGGAATCAATCAGCAACAAATACACACTTCTTTAAAGAATCAAAGAATTGGAAAGAATTCTCCTACTATCAACAATTTTAACACCTAGCCAAAAAAATCATCGGATTCCAATACATTCAAACTAGAGCAAAACTCATTCTCTAGAAATTTGATTGTTCAACGGATTGAAAGAAGCTGAACTCACACCATAAATGTAAGAGCTCTGGACACATCTTGAAATGCAGCAGAAAAATACTATTGTCCTTTTACGACTTGAGTTGGGCGTGATCAAATTTTGGCACCGTTAGTCTAACAATCCCATGCTACAATCTTGAACCAATCAACACCTTAAAAATTGAATCTTGAACCAATCAACACCTTAAAAATTGAATCTTTAACACCCCCATATCACCAAAACAAGATTGTCAAACAACCCCACAAGAAAATGAAATCCTAGTTGAAATTTAACAAAATTAACAGTACCCCAACAACCCCCCAAAAAGACCACCCCAAGATTTCTATCAAAGACCTTCAAACATGCACGAAAACAGACAAATCAACTGTCATCATCATAAAGAGAAGCTGAAGAAAAAATTAACTTCCTAAAGCCCCACTACCCAAAAAAGCTAAACCCCATATACAACTGTGTTTTTTATATATTGAGAATGAAATTTAACTCTCCTCTAGTTTTTTACTTCTCTAGGGAAAAACAAATGATGGCTTGGTAAAGATGATGTTGGGGAAAGAGGAGAGAGAACATTGGTTTTTGACCGTCTGATGAGAATCTAACGGTGGGGAAAGAAGAAGAATATGACCGTTGTAACATTTGTCAGTGGAATATGACCGTTGGAGGGAGTTGGTATTATAGGGAACAGTGTGTGTGTATCTTTGTGAAATTAGTTTTTTTCTTTTTGCTCTTTTGGAGGGTGCAGTTGAAGTCACGTCCCACGCACGTGCATGTCTCATAATACCCGTTTTTTCACTTGACCGTTGCTCTTTTTTTTTTTTCTGTATTAAGTGAAGTGAAGTTTCTAGGAGATTACAATAATTAACTGACTAATCAGGTAATTACTGTATGCATGGCAGTGGGGTAGTACTTAATTTTAGGGTAATTAATTAGATTGCTTTAATTATGGACATATCGATGAGGACAAAGAATGGCTAGTTGCAAAAAGATTCGTACTTTGTGTCGGAGTGATGTTTGTTTTATACTTTCATATTATGTGCATTTAAGTTTTTTTTTTTAAACAAATTGAGTTTAGAAAACGACTATTAGCTTGTTTGGCCAAACTTATTTTTGGTTAAAAGTGCTTTATTTTTGCCAAAAATATTTTTGGCCAAAAATTGAGGTGTTCGACCAAGCTTTTGGAAGGAAAAAAGTGCTTTTGAGGAGAAGCAGAAAAAAGTAGCTTCTCTCCAAAAGCACTTTTTTGAGAAGTACTTTTGAGAAAAATACACTTAGAAACAGTTTTTTAAATCTTGGCCAAACACTAATTGCTGCTCATAAGTAGGGGCATCCATTCAAATCGGTTTATCGATAAATCAAATCGATTATTTGTTATCGGTTTATCGATTTATCGATTTCGATTTCAAAATTTTCCTTATCGATTTTGATCTTGTCCTCTTCGGTTATCGGTTTATCGATAAACCGATAAGATATACTAAAAAGACAAAAAAAATTAATACCCTTATTCTATAATACCCTTCCCTTTACCCTAAGTTCCTAACCCTATTATTTCCTCCACCACATTTAAGGAATGATTATATTTAAAGCCCAAGGGAATGAAGTTCAAATTAATGGAAAACAGAATTAGCTGTGATGATGTATTTTTTTTTATACTGTTGGAGTGTTGGTGGCATACATTTGATCCCCTTACTTTAGTTTCGTTGCATGTGCTTGTTGACACAATTTTTATGTTATAAACGGTGTTCGTCTTATTTTAGCTTCTTTTTATCTATATTAGTTAGACGTGTTTATAGCGATATACTTTCCGTGGAATCCCGCAAATTTTCTTATTGGTGTAATCGATAACCGAATCGATAAGCCCCAAAAATCGATAAATCGAAATCGAAAAAATCGAAACCTTATTGAAATGATAACGATAAGCATATGTACAAATCGATAATTGATAAGTAATTATCGATAAAGGTCAAAATCGAATCGATAAATCGAATGCACATCCCTACTCAGAAGTGCTTTTTAAACTAATAAGCCAAACACAAACTGCTTCTCACCAAAAGTACTTTTGAAAAAAACACATCTCAAAATAAGCTGATTTTTGCAGTTTGGCCAAACGGGCTATAAATCTGGTGATAGAAGGAGATGTGATATGTAAACACGCACATAGTCAGTCACCTTTCTAGAAGAAAAAAAGGGTAGTCTGATGCACAAAGTATTCCGTATTTAACCAGAGTTCGGGAAACGGCTGCATCACCCTAAAGCAAGCATTAGTGGCTACTTCCACGCAAAGACGGATCCAACATTTCAAGAGGATGAGTGCACTATTGCGAAGAAGTGGATCTAGAATTTACATTTGACGGGTTTAACGTTAGTCTCTTACCATGAACCCATTGCACATTTGAAATTATAGGTCCAAAAGTGTATTCTTTTTTAAATTTTAGTAATTTTTACATATATATATATACTCCATGCCGAAAACAGGACCATTCAGAGTGAGATTTGAACTGTCAATTTCACTTGTAGAGGTGCACCCACTAATAATTACATCATAAGAGTCTTTGAGAATGGGTTCACGAGCATATATTTAAGTAATTTTGAAGAAATATAACATATACATGATTTAGGGCGAGAGGTATGGGTTCACGTGAACTCATATCCCTCAACTTGGATACGCCTTTACTTCCACGACTCGAATCCATAACCTATAAACTGAGATAAATTTACTGTTGCTCTAAAAAAGGTTAAAATAAATAAATACGTATGTTTTCATTTTAATAATTTCAGTTTTTAGATAACACATTATTAGAGCAAGCAAATGCCTTTGAGTTAGAGTCTTGCCACCATCAGTTAAAAATACAATTTGTCATTGCTTGGTTCAAGGAAAACAAACCATCACATAAGATAATGCTGACATACCAATAATTAAATACATTTTATAATAATTCAAACTTTTAAATAAGTTAATCTCACAATACAACAAATGCAAACCACTGAAAAATCATTTTGACATTGTCAACAACTCTTGCTGCCGTTGTAGGCAAATAAGTCTTGGTCTCATTAATTTCAGTAGAACAGGTAAATCCAAGAGTTGTGGAGCTCCTGGAGCAGAGCAATGATGATCGAGCATAGTAGCATCAGTTGATTTGGTCAAAAAACTTGTTTAGTTCATTCTGTGATCAGACACATTTATCTCATTAGTATTGTTAACTTAGACTTTTGTCGGTTTACTATTTAGGTGACAAAAATTGTTGGTTCTTCCGATGGGACTTAGGTAGAATAGCGAGGGGGTCGTTTGTTTGGAAAGAAGTTATCCTAGGATTAATTGTCCCGGGATTAGTTATTCCATTTTTTCATGGAATAAAGAAAATACTACAAACTCAGAATAATTAATCCCGAGATTAATTATACCGTAGTTTTCTGCCAACCAAACATGAAATAAACTCTTCTTAAATTTAGTCCCGAAATTAATTACTCTTTATCCTTCGTACCAAACGAGCCCCAAGAGCGCAACGTGGGGTTCAGTAGAATTATAACAGCTCGCGCTATGTAAATTAAACACATGTCACGAGTTTGAACTCTTACCGCAAACAAAGACGTGTGGAGCGAAATAGATAGAGGTGCACACCCGCTATCCACGGAATTTCTGACCGTGTGTCACTTACTCTTAGAGCTTTCTCGAGTATATAAAATAAACCTGAAAGTACTATATCGGGATGTCTTTTTCGAACCGTGCACCACTAACACGTGAAGCTTTCTCAGTTATGAAAATAACAAAACCCCCAACCTGGAAGCTACTCCATTAGGATGTCTTACCATTCTCTAGTTTCTCTTTTTAGAAATATATTGCTCGCTTTGATTTGCTCATATTTCTCTAAAGCCACTCCATGATGAGCATTAAAGGGACGTTTGGTTTGAAGACAAAGACAAGTTATGATTGAATGTTATACTGAAATTAATTATGTTAAAATTAGTGATCCTAATAGTATTTTCTTATTAATTGTTTGGTATACAATATTAATCTTAAAATTATCAATTTACTATTTTATCCTAAAATAACTTATCCTAAGATTACTATTCCACAATCCGACAGGTATAAATTATCTCCCAATATTATTTTTAATTTTGGGATAACTTATCCTAGAATTAGTAACCAAACAAAGGATTAAAGCCACACTTAATTTTTATCCCAAGATTGTTTTTATTTATCCATCAGACCAAATGACCCTTAAGTTCCGGATATGTCTCATGGCTCACATAGCAGGTCATTCCAGCGTTAACCTCAAACCTTCCCAGATTAGTATTTAAGTGCACAGAACCGAGACCGTGAACTCTTCAGTAGCTATCCTTGGTGCACCCTGAAGACCATTTGCAAGCCATATACAAACTACAATGACCCAAACAACGAAAACAGCAGCAACCATTTCACGAGCTTCGCAAGTTTTTTCAATTTTCAAGCAAACAAATATTTCCAAAGAAAAGGCACCATGAATCACTGTAATACTCCTCACCAAGGTAATCATTTGGCGTTTTCCCTACCAACCAGATAATTTAACCAAAACAACCCATCCCCCTAACACCATCTTCACCATGTATAATCTTAAGTCTTCAGAAGTGATTTTAAACTAATTACAGAATGAATAAATTATATCATCTCCAGATACAGCGCTTCTTGTTTGCTGGATAACCCCAGTTCGTCCAGAGAGAGGACACTCTCTCCATCGCTGAAAGCACGCCTAGGATAAGGTCTTACCTGCATGTAGGACATTGTATTAGCAGGTATTCAATATCTCTAGTTGTTACAAAGCAAACAAAATGTATAACTAATCTACGAAATAAGTACTAGGAAGCGAACTACCAAATCTTCTCTCTCTTCCACACCCCAAAAGCACAAACTACGTGACCATTTTTTTTAGAAGAATTAAGTGACCATTTAAAATGTATATGAACTTTCTGCAACACATTACTTCACTAGACACTGTCAAAGTGGAAGTTCCCAACCATTTTGAAACAACTCTTAGAGCAAAGAAACAACAATAATAACATAAACAACGTGATCCCACAAGTGGTGTTTGAGGAGGGTAGAGTGTACGCAGACCTTACACTCCTACCTTATATAAGGCAGAGAGGTTGTTCCCGATAGACCCACGGCTCAAAAAAAAGTATTTCAAAACAGATTTGAAAAATACAAGAGTAAAGAAGCTATGATGAAAGTAAAGAAGAAAGAAAAGTATTGATAGAAACAATATTAGTAATAAAATTGAAGAATAAGATAATAATAACATGATGATAATAATACTAGTGACAAGAGGAGTTGTTCTGATGTAAGCAACCTCTACTTCCAACCAAGAGGTTGTGAGTTCGAGTCTCCCCAAGAGCAAGGTGGGAAGTTCTTGGAGGGAAGGATGTCGGGGGTCTATTTGGAAACAACCTCTCTATCCCAGGGTAAGGGTAAGGTCTGCGTACACACTACCCTCCCCAGACCCCACTAAGTGGGATTATACTGGGTTATTGTTGTTGTTGATAATAATACTAGTAAGGAGAAGAGAGAGCAGATAAGGTGCTCAAACCTAGGGGTGTCAATATCTTTAAAAACCGACTAAACCGACCGAGCCGTATCGAACCGATTATAAGGTTTCTTTCAATAAAACCGTAGGTTTTTATATA